ACCCCCTTTTTTTTTTTTTTAATAAGAATGTCTGCCTGCTCTTGAGACTTGTTTTCCATGACAGGGATTCAGAGCATTTTCAAAGTAATAAGTATAGACTGATGAGCCATGGCTAAAGCAATTCTGTTGTAGGGTATCTGAGTGGGGGAGGAGCAGGTACAGAGAAATTTGTGACGGGTTGTGATCAGTTAGTTGTAAACGCCATAACACTTGGACCAGCCAAGGAGACCGCAATTTAATGTGTCCAGAACCAAAGCTGTAAAGTGTTGGTAAATAAATTAACTTCTGGCCGGGCTCAGTGGCTCAGCCAGCACTTTGGGAGGCAGAGGCGACTGAACTGCCTGAAACCGTGGGTTCGAGGCCCACCTGGGCAACTTGGTGAGACCTTGTCTGTACAATAAATACAAAATTAGCTGGGCGTGGTAGCATACGCCTGTAGTTCCGGCTACTTGAAAGGCTGAGGCGGAACGATTGCCAGAGCCCAGCAGGTCGATGCTAGGGTGGCTAAGTGTGCCACTGCACTCCAGCCTGGGTGATGGAGTGAGACTCCAACTCAAAAAAAACAAAACAAAAACCTAACTCCTGAAAAAGCAGAGACATGAGCTTTACACCCTGTACCTAACTTGACCTTCTCCTCGTCTGCCTTCCTGCTCATCTGGTTTCCTCTCTGAAAGGTGAGAAATTGTTCCCCAATAAAAGCCACTTTAGAAGTAATAGTGTTTTTATTAGTTGAGTCGATTTGTCCTTGGTTCTGATGGGAAAATTTCCAATCCTCCCGCCCCGCTCCTGGTGCTGTCCCAGCAGTTTTGGCACATCTCGCTTGTGATAGGTAGGTCGGAGGCTCCTATCGACCTGGAAAGGCACAGGCTCTCATTCTATCCATCTTCATCCCTGTGGCTCTGGGCAGTGGACAGCACAGAGAGAAGCCTCTGGCCTTGTACCACCCCCCTTTCCCCTTCACTCACAGCTTCCTCCCCCTACTAGTGGGATGCCTACACAAGGAGGAAGAAGCCGAGAAGTCAAGAAGTCACTTCGGCAGTCCTGGGAGTGAGATAGAGGCTTTGTACAAGCCCCAGGGGAGGGGATGGCTGAGTTCTGGGAGCTCATCAAACAGCAAAGGAGAATCTGGCTGGCACGGTACACTCTGCTTGCGCCATTGCTCCCACTCTAGGCCAGGACACCAGAAGGCCCATTAGGAAGGAGACCACTCAGGCAGTGAGGGGAGAAAGCCCCTGCCCCAGAAGAGGCCAAGGCAAAAAGGGCCCACAACTGTCTGTCTGCAGAGGAGGGAAGGGGTCCACAGAGCCCAGTGGGAGCTGCCACCCGAGACCCTTGTATCTGAGCAGCTGTGGGGCAGGACAGCCAAAACTGGGGTGAGACAGCCTGCACTATAGAGCCCCAGAGGCACGAGGTGCCTGGCTGCCTCAGGCTGGAGGGCTTGGAAAGGACATGTACCCTGTTCACAGAAGAGCTGTAACCAGGTCAGGGGCATCTCAGAGTCTTCCCTGGGCACCCCCTTGGAGGAGTTGGCAGCCAGCAGCAGGGGAGAAGGTGTCAAGAAGATGGTCGGGCCCCTCTCAGGCTGAATGGGATGTCACATTGTAGGATGTTTTCTTCAGGGTCTCCAGGAAGAACTGTTCATTTTCCAAGAAGTCATGGTCCTATAAGGCAGATTCAGATGAGTAGCCACACCTCCATAAATGAGACAGGTGAGCCAGCCCTCACTCAGGGAGACCCCCTCCCCGTGTACTCCTGATTCTGCTTGCCTCTGGAGATGGGGGTGAGGGCATGAAAGAACCCAGTTATGAACTAAGATGGATCATGGTCTTTTTTTTTTTTTTTTTGAGTTGGAGCCTCACTCTGTCGCACAGACTGGAGTGCAGCGGCCGCTCCCGGCCCCCGCAGCCTCAACCTGCTGGGCTCCGGCGATCCTTCCGCCTCAGCCTTCCGAGTAGCTGGAACTATAGGTGCGCGCTACCACACCCGGCTAGTTTTTGATTTATTGTAGAAACGAGGTCTCACCAAGTTGCCCAGGCGGGTCTCGACCCGTGGGCTCATGCAATCCACTCACCTCAACCTCCCAAAGGCACAGGATTACAGGCTGAGCCACCGAGCCCAGCTGGACCATGGTCTTAATACTGGTGAGACCACGTGTTAGCTGCATAACTTAGGAGCACAGGACTCCATGTCTCTAAGCCTCAGTTTCCTTGTCTGTAAACTGGAGATAACATTTCCTATTTTGTAAGGCTGTGTGAGTGTAAAAGCTCATAATACACACAAAGCCTTCAGCACTGAGCCTCGCACACGAGAAGTGCTCCATAAGTGACATGTCATTATCGCTACTTGTTATTGTGAGATTTAACTGAGGTGACATATGCAGATTGCTCTGTACAGACAGACCTGGGCCTTGAGGAGAGATCCTGGAAGTTGCTCACTACGCAATCTGCATCACTGTTCTCTTTCAGGAGCTGGGGTCAGCCCTCCCCATGGCCATGATTGTCACTACTTTGAACACGAGCACCCCGAGGCCAGGAAACACTCACCTGCTCGGCTGTGTGTTTCAGCAGCACCAGCTTGGCATGGAAGGATGAGGGGCGCAGGCTGGACAGCGGCTGGCTGCACGAAGGGGTGGTGGGAGCAGAAGCCACAGGGGCTGAAAGGTCGAGGAGGAAGTCAGGGACCAGGGTGCTGCTGGGAAAACAGGTGGTCCCAGCTTGTTCCCCCAGGACCTGCTCATCTTCTGCCAGTGGGGAGACCCTGGATAGATGCTCTGGGGACACACGGCACCTACTCTCAAAAGCTTCTGTGGTCTTCTCAGGTAAGTCTACTTCTAAGAATTTATTCAAGGGAAATAGTCAGGTGAAGGTGCCTGATATATATATGAAGGTTTCTACTGAGGTGCTGTTTATCAGTGACAACACATCACTTAGCACGGAACAACCTCGAAATGGATGCTATGCTGACTGAAATTGATTACATGTCTAGTTCCTGGGAAGAAAACATGCTCCACATGTTTATTGCTATGTGAACAAAGTTGAGATATCAAACAACATATGAGACAATTCCAAATTTGTTTTTAAATATATATACCAGAGTAGAATGTGATGCACCAAAAGGTTCAAAGTGTTTCTCTCTAGGCTAGGGAGTAGCATTGGGGGTGATATTTTAAAAAATAGTTTTTCCTTCTCTGTTTCTGATTTATTTATCTAAAATTAACATGCATTATTTCTATACAAAATAACAAGATGACTTTGCTTTTTTTTTGTTTTGAGTCAGGGTCTCACTCTGTCACCCAGGCTGCAGTACAGTGGCATGGTCACAGCTCACTGCAGCCTCGAAATCCTGGCTCAGCGTCCCAAGCAGCTAGGAGTACAGGCGTGTACCACCACCCAGCTAAATTTTATTTTATTTTTATAAAGAAGAAGTGTCAACATGTTGCTGAGGCTGGTCATGAACTCTTGGGTTCAAGCAATTCTCCTCCCTTAGCCACTCGGAGTATAACAAGATGATTTACTCGTTTGTTTACTTATTTTGAGTCGGAGTCTCACTCTTGTCACCCAGTCTGGAGTGCAGTGGTATGCTCATGGCTACCACAGTCTTAAACTGCAGGGCTCAGGTGATCCTTCTGCCTCAATCTTCCAAGTAGCTGGAACTACAGGTGCATGCACCATGCCTGGCTAATTTTTGATTCATTGTAGAGACGAGGTCTTGCCAAGTTTCCTAGGCTGGTCTTGAACCCCTGGGCTCCACCTCCCAAAGACAGGTCTCACCACCACGCCCGGCTCACAAGATGCCTTTAAAACCCTCTTAACGCAAGTGGCTTGTGGAGGGCCTGCCCCCTCCCGGCACTGCCTCTGCCTGGTCCCGGGGCCGCTCACCACTCAGACTGGAGGCTTCGGGGCCCTGGGCCCTGGAGAGCATCCCTTCGAGGCTGGAGGGCAGGTCCTGTCGGACACGGTCCAGTTGCAGCCTCTGCTGGGCCAGACTCAGATGCTCCTGTCCCCGCCCCCCGGAGAGAAGGACTCAGCTGTGAGGCAAGAGGCCAGGAGGCCTGGGGGAGCCGGTGCCAGGAAGAGCCTTGCCTGGTGCATGTGCTGCTCCTGCTGCCGCAGCCGCTCCTGCTCCTGCCACACTGCCTGCAGCCGGGCCTGCTGCTGTGCCTGCAGCTGCTGGGCCTTTCGCAGTGCCCGCTCTCCTTCCTCATACTTCTCCGAAGCCACCTGCAGGAAGGCCGCCTGGGTCAGGGCTCACTGGGGTCAGCCATGGCCACACCCACATGCCGGGCCGCACCTTGCTCATGCTCTCCACCTCCTGGGCATGGAGCCTGGTGCGCTGGGCGGTGGCATTGACCGCCTCCTTCTCCAGCCGCAGCTCCCGCCTCTCCCGCTCCAGGACCTCCCTCTCAGTTGCCAGCTGCTCCTCCTTGGCCCGGAGCTCGCTGGCCCTGATCTTCAGCTCGGCCTGCTCCTGGAGACCAGAGGCACCATTGCAGTCTCCTCCAGGGAGTCAAGCTGTGTTCTGTGCAGGATTCCGAGGGGCCCCTCTGCCCACCCTGTCCCTGGCAGGGGGCAGTACAGCAAGGGGGCTTCCAGGGAGGGCCAAAGAAGCCTAGGGCCAAGCCAGGGTGCTGTCCTCGAAAGCCAAGGGACCATGACAGGCTCAACTCTGAAGCTCGGTTTCCTTATTTCTACATGATCTATGTCCTAGGATTATGATGAGGATCATAAGAAAAATATTCATTCAATATAAAGTGCCTAGGACAACACGGGGAGGCTGCTGGTATGATGACATGGTTACTAATCCCTATACTCTGTCATGTGGGTGCTACACTCTTCTTTCCTAAGACCAGAAGCTGATGGATCCAGATGCAGGTGCCAGGGCCACCCTGGCCCTCCCCCGTCCTGGAGGCTGGGGGCCTACCTGCACCAGGGTCAAGAGGGTGCCCTCCCGCTGGGCGTCCACCTGCAGTGCGCGCTCTGCTGCACGCTCGGCCTGCTCCTTACTCAGCTTCTGCTGTGCAAAGAACTCGGCCCACTCGGCCGCCAGGCGCCGCCGCTCCTCTCCACACTTGTGCATGACAGACTTCTGCTCCTCCAGCAAGGCACTCTGGGACGTGGGGGCAAGGGCACAGTGTGAGTGTCCCTGAGCATAACGGTGAGGTCCGGAGCTGAACGATGTGACTGTGCTTACCTTGGCCCTCTCCAGCTCGGCCCTCTCCATGGCCATCTGCTGGGCCATGACCTTCCTTTGCTCCTCTAGGGCACGCTGTGTGGACTCCACCTTGGACTGCTCCGCAGTCACCCGCCAGCGCTCCTGCAGGGCCCAGGGCAGGGCTGAGAGTGTGGCTCCTCTTCTGAGAGTCAGGCCTGGCTGTTTCCTGAGGAGCTCTGCAAACCCCCCGTGTCTCCCATGCTTCACCACGAACACCCTCTTCCCAGAGGCACAAAACCAGGGGTTCCTGGGAGGGACGGTCAAGGCCTAGCCTGTGCAATTCTGCCTGAAAGCATGGCCTGGCAGGTGCCAGCCCAGCCCTCAGGTCTCCAACTGCACTAAAGCTAGCAGCTCAGGAGGGCCAAAGAACAGCAATGTTCCTGCCCTGAATCGCCAGCTCGGTACTCTGCCTGCCCATTGTCCATTGCCAAGTAGGCAAAGGAAACAGGTTGGGCTTAATGCTGTACTGGGGTGGCCACACATGAGCATGTGGTGAGAGCTGAACTGTGCCAGGCCTGAGGCAGGAGCTTAATATAGTTACCAAAGGAAATACGGCTCATGACATCAAAGCTGTGTCTACGTTGACATGTCTACAGGATTTATATTTTATCACCAGTGGATGTCACTGGCTTTTCTTTTCTTTCTTTCTTTTTTTTTGAGTAGGAGTCTCATTCTGTCACCCAGGCTAGAGTGCAATGGATGCTCACGGCCACCACAGCCTCGACCTGCTAGATTCAGGTGATCCTTCTGCTTCAGCCTTCCAAGTAGCTGGAACTATGGGTGCGCACCACCACACCCAGCTAATTTTTTTTGTTGATGTAGAGACGAGGTCTTGCCAAGTTGCCCAGGCTGGTCTTGAATCCCTGGACTCAGGCAATCCTCTCACCTCTGCCTCCCAAAGTGCTGGGATTACAAGTGTGACCCACTGTGCCTGGCCTTATTTTCTTCTTTAAAAAAAAATTTTTTTTATAGATGGGGTCTTGCTAAAGTGCAGCAGCTATTCACAGGCATTATCATAGTACACTACAGTCTCGAACTCCTGGGCTCAAGTGATCCTCCTGCATGGCTGGGACTGTAGGCATGTACCACCGTGCTGGCTAAGGTTACTATTTTTAAAATAAAGGTTGCTCTGGCAACCTTCGGGTCCCCTCCCACTGTGGGAGCTTTTCTGTCCTCTCACTAAATCCTGCTTTCTCACTTAAAAAAATAAAAAATAAGCTGGGCTTGGTGGCTCAGCCTGTAATCCCGTGCTTTGAGAGGCTGAGGTGAATGGATTGCCTGAGCCCATGGGTTCAAGACCTGCCTGGGCAACCTGGCGAGACCTCATCTCTACAATAAATCAAAAATCAGCCAGGCATGGTAGCGCGTGCCTGTAATTCCGGCTACTCGGAAGGCTGAGGCGGAAGGATCGCCGGAGCCCAGCAGATTGAGGCTGCGGTGGCCGGGAGCGGCCCCTGCACTCCAGTCTGGGCGACAGAGTGAGACTCCAACTCCAAAAATAATAATAATAATAATAATAATAGTAAATAATAAAAATAAAGCTTGCTCTTATCTATGAAATATACATAGGGAGGAGTTCAAACATATCTGTTACAGCTGAAGAGGCTAGAACAACATTTACTGGGCGAGAACATCTCTCCCGATGTCACAGGCATCAGCTGAAGTGAGTGGGAAGTTCAGCTGATGGTGGAGGGCTGGACTGTGGAGGGCAGCCCTGGGGCAGGTGGCCGAGGGGCCTGCGTGCTCGGGCTGGGCTGGGAAGCTGCAGAGGCAGGAAGGGGCAGGAGGGACATTCAGACAGTTGAGTCTTGGGGACTGACCACCTGAGGAGGTGCTGTTAGAGAACTGCTGCCATGCCTGCAGGCACCCTGGGAGGCAAGAGGTGGGGGCGAGGCCCTGTGGCGGGGACGGGCCTCACCTCCTCCAGCTGCCGGCTCTGCTCATTCAACCGCGCCTCCATCTTTGTGATGATCTCCTGCAGCCGGCTCCGCTCCTCCTCCATGTCCCGCTGCTGCCGGCCCAGCCGCTCCTGCAGTGCTGGGGGGAGCCCACAGGGCGCTCCATGCCTCCCCACCTTCCCACCCAGGTGACCGAGGGAGATGGAAGAGGGGGAAGGGCATACCTCGCAGCTGCTCATCATGCTGCCGGATGCCCAGCTGCCGCTCCTGGGAGGTGGTGAGGTGTGAGGCCTCCACGCGGGAGGACAGCTCGTTCAGTGTGCTGGAGAACTTCTCCAACTGGTCGATGATGCCATTCAGGGACCTGGAGGAGGAGCGGGTCACTTCATGCTGAGGATCCCAGGGACCCTCAGCTACAGCCTGCCCTTGGGTGGTCCATGAACCGTGTGTGGGAGGTGGCGCTGGTGGCTGCGTCGACCTCTCGGTCCTTTAGCAGCTTCAGCCGCTGCAGCTGCTCCTCGTAATCCTTGCGCATCTCCAGGATGGACGCCCTGCAGGGTGGGGAAGGCACGGGGCCACTCTGAGCAGGACCACACGGACGGCAGTGAACGCAGCGGGAGTTCCTCGGGAATGGGTTTGCCTCTGAGTGGTCCCTGTTCCCAGGGCCTCTTCTCCTCCTCTGGGTACTGCCTCACTTTCCCCAGCTCCTCTGTCGAATCTGTCTGGGAACTCCAATGCTGCATATACTCTCTAAGGAGGAGATTCTGGCCAGTATTCAGCAAGGACACTTTACACAGAGGAACGGCAAGTCGTGTGCACAACCCTTTTGTGTCTGGGCAGCCTGAGTCTTAAAAGGCCTGCTCTGCCCTCACCAGCCTCTGACTCTTAGGTACCTTTTCTCAGTTTTGTTCTTGCCAGAAGGCAACCCTATCAACACAGCAGGCACAGCAGAACAGACTTTTCTCGGATGAGTTTCATCTCTAGCCTCCACTGAGTCAGCAGGCGAGTGGGTTACCCTGTGCTTAGTTAAGCCCTGGGGTGCTTGTTGCTGCCATGCCCTACCTGGACAGCCTGGGGGTGCCCCCTCCACCTCTGTGAGAGAAGGTGGCCCCCACCATAGGGTGCCTGGTCGGTGTGCCCAGCCCTGAGTCCTCACTCGACGGGCTGGAAGGGAAGGGCTCAACCCCATTCAGAGGCTGCTGAGCCACAGCTGAAGGACTCAAGGGGATGGCTCTCCTCTGGCCAGTCCTTGCCAGCCTGCCCCCCACCCACCTGCCCCTGGGTCTCACCGCTGCAGCTCCCGGAGCCGCTCCATCTCCTGGTCCTTCTCCTGTGCAGCGGCCGCCAAGCGCTGCTGGTGCTGGGCTGTGAGCCCTGCACGGGTCTGCTCAGCCTCCTGGCAGTGTGACAGGTACCGAGCGGACAGCACCTTGTTCTCTCTCCGGAGCCGCTCCTCTTGTTGCTGATAGGATGTTTCTAACATCTTGACGTGGCTTCTGCCGACAAAACACCCAACCATGGGACTCAGAAGGCAGAGGGCCGCCACCTAAAGGGCCTCTCCGAGCACATGGGGGTGGCCTTTGGGGTCAGTGCAGAAATCCAAGGCGGAGCTAGGGCAGGACATGGGCCTTGGAAAGCTGGGTTGGAGCCAGGGGTACCTGTGTGCACTCTCGATGAGCTCCAGGTCAGCCTGGTGCTGCTCCTGCAAACTCCTCAGCAGCAGCTTGTGCTGGACCCGCTCCAGCTCCAGCTTCTGCACCTGGATGGCAGGAAGGCCTGTGTGGAGGGCTCTGTGCCCCATGCTCCTCTGTGCTGACAGTCCCACCTCCCTCCTGGGGAAGACTCCAACCACTGTCAATAATGTCTTCCCAGTGCAACCCCGCCGCCACCACTGCTGCCCCTGTACCCCTCACTTGGATCTCTAGCTCTGCCAGCTGGGTCTGGCTCTGTAGCAGTTCAGCCTGGAGCTCAGTAGTGCCGCTCTGAAGCTGTACCTGTGCAGCCAGGAGCTGCTTCAGATATGCTGTGCCTGGCAGCAGGCTCTGTGCAGGGGACTCTGGGAGTGGGGACTGTAAGAAAGGGCGAGAGATGCTCCAGGTTAGGGAGGGGACAGGGCCCAGCTGAAGCTCTCTCCTGGGCCTCTGCTCATCGGCCCTCCTGGGCCCTGCACCTGATCTGTGACTGCAGATGGGGACAAGGCCGCCACACCCACAGCCAGGGACAAGGCCTGGGAGAATCACAGTCATTGCAGCAGAGCACTTGCATTTTCAGGTCTGGTCAGGAAAATGAGCATGCCTCCTTCCTCAGAACACCATCCTCCCCACGATGGCTTCCAGGTTCTAAGACAAACAGTTGAGTCCCAGCAGACTCTCAGCTACACCAAAAGCTTCTGACACTGGCCCTCTCTTGCTGGGCCTGAAGCCCACTTGCTCTAATCTAATCTAACCAGACACTAATCTGGTTCCTGCAAGCTGCCCCCCACCTACCATCTCCTAGGGACATGCTCTTGGAGTCCATATATTCCAGGCCCAAGTGTCAGAGGTGACTGCCAAACCCAGGAAACAGAGGCAGAGGTGCAGTGGGAGGATGACAGGGATGGAGAAGGTGTTCTAGACAGGAGACTGCAGCCCTGCTTTCTGATAGCAGCATTCATTCCTGGCTCCCCCACTTGAGTACCACCTCTAATTCTTATTGATGCTGGCACATTAACACCCAACTCTGCCTTGGGGCAGCAAGGCTAAAAGTTTAAGAAAGTGCTGGCCTGTAATCCTGCGCCTTGGGAGGTGAGTGAATTGCCTGAGCCCGCGGGTTTGAGACCTGCCTGGGCAGCGAGACTTCATCTCTACAGTAAATTTAAAAAAAATCAGCCGGGCGTGGTAGCGCATGCCTGTAATTCCAGCTACCCGGAAGGCTGAGGTGGAAGGATCGCTGGAGCCCAACAGGCGAGGCTGCGGTGGCTGGAAGCAGCCACTGCACTCCAGTCTGGGCGACCGAGTGAGACTCCGACTCAAAAAAAAAAAAGTGCTGGTGGGGGATGCCAGGGTGAGCTGGCTAACGTCACGCTTGATGTTCGGCACATTCTTTCTTCCTGGAAGGCTGTCAGGTCAAACTGCTGGTGTTACCTCTGAGCACCAGGGAAAATCATTCCCTGGGCCCAAGACCAAGACCTGTTTGTTCACCCTCCCTACCTGGACAGGCACAGAAAGCCCCGTGGGTTCCTGGGGGCTCAGGAGACGAATGGCAGGCTCTGAAAAACGAACAGCAGAGACATGAGCAGGAAGCCCAGAGCTCTGGGCCTGTGTGTGTACAGGAGGGGCCAGCATCACTCATCTCCCACGGACCCCAAAGCTCCTCAAAGCCCCTCTTCCTCAACTGGAGTAAAACCCCAAACAAGCAGAAACAAACCAGTACTGGAGAGGTCTCCAGGGCCTGTTCCCCTCTTTGGGTCACCTGCAGGGAGGGCTGAGGTGTCTAGGCTCCGAGTCACAGGAGACCTGAGGACACAGAGATTTAAGGGGAAGGTGAACAGCCTTCTGTGAAGGATACAGGGGTGGGGGACTCTTGGTATCAAGGGTAAAGGAAAACTTCATATCAACTGGGAAGGCTGGTGGCTAGGGTTGACTAAGTGGGGGGGTTCTCGGTTATACTAGTGCCTAGGAGAGCACAGGAAAACCTATTTCAGAAAGCCCTTCCAGCAGGGGCCTGACACAGGTGTGGAATACCACAGCCCAGCTAACTATGCTGGGTCCCAGGGCAGTCGTCCCTCATCCATCTCTTAGAAAGAAGGCCCGTGCCACCCACCATATTCTTACTCCCGCTCAGCCTGGCTGCAAACATACCCTGAAATGCCAGGCCTGGCAGACGGTATTTCTTGAGCTGTTGTTCCTGAGATTCCTCCAGCAACTGCTTGCTTAAGCTCTGGAGTGCTGGCAACAGGCTGACTGAGGGAAGTCAACATTAAAGGTGAAGGTGACAGCAGGCCTGGGTTAGGCAGTATGAAGACAACGCCTGGGACAAGCTCCAAGTGTGAAGCTTATGGCTATTCTTCTCCCTATTCCCCTCCCAGCCCTTCTGCTCCCACCATCCTGTTTTGGGTAGTTCTCCTGCCATGTCTGAGCTCCTGGGATTTGTGGACTTCTTCCCTGTCAGTACCCCTCCCCACCTCAGTGTCCATGGTGGCACTGTCCAAGGACTGACATTGGCCGCTTTACATATACCGGAGTTAAGTTCAAGTTTGGAGCTTTGTTTTGGCCCACTTATTCTGACTCAGCTTTAGACTGGAGCTCTGCTCAACCTCCCTCCAAGTCCCCCCTTTGTGCTACTCTCTTGTCTGTTATTTCTTGACTCGGGGCAGTGAGGAGGAAGGCTTTTCTGCTCGGGCCTCAGCTTCCCCTCAGCTTCAGGTCGAAGTCAAAGCTGTCTTCCTGGGATCACATCAACCCCAGGACTGGGCGATGTCCCTGGGCCATCACAAATTGCTCAGTCCTTCCCTTTAGCTCTGGCCATAGAGTCTCTTACCACTTCTGCTAGACGCTCCCATCTCACCAGCCCCTTTTTTCCCTTCTGCCCCCAGAGGTCATTCACTATCCTGCCTACAGAATCACCATTCTGTGGCTTTCCCCAGGAGCTACCTCTTGGCCATTGTGTCTTCTCTAATACTCCTGAAGAACAGGAGGACATCCACCACACACACACGACATTCACTTAAGCGGAGATCGGCAGAAGCACCAAAAGTTTGGACCCTGGGGTTGCCAGCCTTAGGGTTCTGTGGGCAGGCCCCAGCTCAGAGGTGGGACAGTGGTGTGTCTATCTCAGGACACCCTCAGGGCACCGCCCAATCAAGTCAGTACCTGTCCCCACAGCAGTCAGAACATGGGTGTCAACAGTCCCTAAGTCTCCAACCAAGCAAAGGAACTGGAAGCTTTCTCTCTCTGCCAAGAGGCAAAGCCTAGAGGAAGCCTTAGTGCCCACGGTGTGCTCTGGTGTGTGTATCAGGATGTAAAGCTTATTTTCCGACCGAGGTGAGGTGGGCAAGGGGCACACTCAAAGTCCTACCCCGACCTCCCGTCCACTAGTCACTACAGCCCAAGCCTGTACCTGCCAGAAGGGGGATGGCCCACTGTCCCCACCACGTTCAGGTCCTGAGAGGTCCCAGCACACTCTTCTATGGTCAAGCCTTGGGACTTCTTCTGAGATAAGGCATGGCTCAGCCAGTCCTCCTCTTCTTTCTCCTCAGATGCTCCCAGCTTTGAAGCCTGGCTGGCTTTGGCAAGGAACCCTGCACCCTTGGTTGGTGGCTTTACCTCTGAGGAGGGCAGCCCAGCTGGGGCAGAGTGCCGGCCTGGGGCAGAGTGCTGGCTGGCAGGAGGAGGTACTGAAGGTGTGGAGAGTGCTGAGCCTCTCCGGGCCTCTCTGGTGGGCGAGGGAGGAAGCAGGTCCAAGTCATCATCCTTAAGGCCCAACCAGTCAGCTCCTCCCTTCTTGGGGTGGATGGGGCTGGAAGATGCTGTTGGGCTCTGTTTGGAGCTGGCTTCTGCCTTGGGGTCTGGGCCACCTTCTGCTAAAAACCTACTTCAAGACAGAGAGGTGTCAGGAAGGGGAGGCAGCCCATCCCAATCCCTTACCAGCCTTTCCCTCCACTGCTGGGAGGCAATAAGGCCCACGGCAAGGAGTCAGGGGCTCCACACAGCCAGCCTGAGATCAGTGAGCAGTGACTCCTGGACCAGCTCAGGTAGCAGGGCAGTGGTAGGTCACATGCTGCTTGCAGAGCACCATGAAATACAGGCACTCTGACTCCCATCACATGAACCAGAACAAGTCTAACCACAGAGACTAGGATCAAATTATAATAGGATCAAGTGGTTTCCAGGTTTTCCACCACAGCCATTTTTTACTTGTTAATTTTTTCAGCCATGGCCTTCATCTGTTACGGACCAGTGGCGCAGGCTCCCAGCTTTAAGGGGAAGAAATGCCAGTGTGGCTACAGAGCTATTTTGATAGAAAGGCTGGTCAAGCCAACGTGGCATGAGGTAAACAACTGCTGAGTCTGGGGAAAGGATGGAGGGAGCTCCTCGTGCTGTTCTTACAACTTCTGTAAGTTTGAAATTACATCAAAATATAAAGTTTAAAATATATACTGGGAGAAAAACTCCAAATTCAGAAAGAAAATTCTACCACTGATTTAATTTTTTGTGGCAAACTGGGAGGGGTGTGCTGCCAAGATTGTCCTGGTGGGTCTGATGGAAGTGCTCCCAGAACACTGAACAGCCGTAGCAGAGACCAGTGATCTTGCAACCCCTTGGGCCACATACTCCTGGTGAGAGCAAATGGCATCACAGTCTCTTATGGCTTTCACGGGCTGAGACCAGGGTGTTGGCAGACTGGAATGGAGACCTGGAGGGGCTCCTGTTGGAGTCGTCTCCACTACTCTGCCTGGCTGTTGGGAAGGCGCAACCTTCCCCTCCCCTTAGCACCCACAGAGCTGAGTGCCTTGCACACCCTGCCTGCCACACAAGTCTGTCAGGTAGGATGGTGGAAGGCTGCTTGTCTTCCTAGTGGCCAAGCTGTCTCAGAGACCAAGCCTCCTGTAGGCTCTGCTTACCTGACAGATTGCCGGCGGGACTGCCGGCCCTCAGAGGAGCCCAAGGTGGGCTGATAGGCCCCGAAGGTGAAGTCCTCGTTGCCCCAGTCATCTTCGTTGTCTGTGAATTAAGAAGCACACGACTGTGGTCTGGGGTAGAGGAAGTCAAGCTTTTTTGTAGTGCAGAACTGGTCTAAGAAAAGCTGAACTGGCAGGTCAATGTTTAACAGCAGAGGCAGCCGGGCGTGGTGGCTCAAGCCTATAATCCCAGCACTTTGGGAGGCTGAGACGAGAGGATTCCCTGAGCTCAGGGGTTCGAGGCCAGCCTGGGTAACTTGGTGAGACCTCGTCTCTACAATAAATCAAAAAATTAGCTGGGTGTGGTGGCATATGCCTGTAGTTCTGGTTACTTGGAAGGCTAAGGAGGAAGGATTGCCTGAGCCCAGCAGGTCGATACGGGAGTGGCTGTGAGCATGTCACTGCGCTCCAGCCTGGGTGACAGAGTGAGACTACAACTCAAAAAAAAGAAAAAAAGAAAAAAAAGAGCAGAGGCAAAGCTGCTCTGGGAGGAACAACTACAACACGTGCAAGGAAAATGCACTACTGGCCCCCAGGATCCCTCAAAGTCAGGTCCAGTGAACTGTGTGTGTCATGAGAACAATTCCCCACAGGTGGCTCACAGGCTATCTGAGAAACACTGGTACAGAGCAGTGTTTACAAAATGTTAGCTGCTGTCCATTAGAGGGGTGAGAAACCAACATAATGAGTCACAATCAATGTATTTCTAAACCAAACAGCATCTAGATGAAAGATAACAGAGCATCTGGCCAGGCACAGTGGCTCACATCTGTAATCCTCGCACTTTGGGACTCCTGTTTGAGTCCAGGAGTTCAAGACCAGCTTAGGCAACATAGCAAGAGCTCATCTCTACAAAAATAAAAAATAAGCCGAGTGTGGTAGTACATGTCTGTAGTTCCAGCTACTTGGGAGGTTGAGGTGGAAGGATTGTCTGAGCCCAGGAAGTTGAGGCTGTGGTGAGCTGTGATCACGCCACTGCACTCCAGCCTGGGCAACAGAGTGAGACCATGGCTCAAAAAAAAAAAAAAAAAAAAAAGAAAAGCACAAAAAATAGATAACAGAGTCTTGAACAATGGTCATGGTAGGTATTATTTTGTCTCCGTCATGTGAATAATCATGTGCGTATCAGCTTATTTCTTATTATAGGTATAGTAAAAACCTTATCTAGCGGCCCCCTGCCATCCTGCCCCGCCCCCAGCAAACTTCCTCACCCTGTGGCCTCTGGTACTTCTGGTCTCGCTTGAACTCCCTGTGCTCCCCTGTGCCCGGGTGGGCCGGGAGTTTGGTGGCAGTGCCTCGACCCAGCAGTTCATCCAGCTTAGAGCGAGCAGGATGGGGCCCTTCCCTGCAGGACAGGACAGAGGGCAACTGTGTGGATCTGAGGGGCTCCCAGGGACTGCACTGTGCCCGGTCACTTGCTTTTTCCTGAACTGGAAGTAGCAGCCTCGCCAGGGACTCTGTCCATAGGGATCCTTACTGGTCTCCCATCTGCCTCCTCTCTGCTTTGGGGCTGTCTCCAAACCCCAGGGTGGCCATGATGTCATCCTCATTGTCAAACAGCAATTCTTCTTTCTTTCGGACAGGGGTGTCCCCAGGTGTTAGAGGAATAGAAGGACCTAAAAGACAGAACACAGGGCCCAATGCCCATGGCCTTCTTGCCCTCACTGTGGTATCTGGATGGGCGATTCTCTGCAACCTTGACCTCTGGGTGGGCCAGCAGGCATCAGGTCTGCCCATGAGACTTGACTCCCACAGCCCACTCCCAGGCTCATTCATCCCACCTCCCTGTCCCTAGAGACTGACAGCCTTTTTGTCCTGGACTTTGACCTCTGGTCCCTGCCCTGGTGAGAACTCTGGTTCTGTATCAAAAAGGTCAGTTAGCCTATTGCCAAGGAATCTTGCCCTCAGGATGAGAAACAGGCCCACACTCTGCTCTACCTTGATTTCTGACTGTGCCGGGACTCTTGTCAGAAGCTGTTTTACCCTCTGCTTTGAGTGGCTTCTCAGCGATTCCTTCCTCATCATAGGAGAGAAGTCCTGCCAGTGGGTCTTCCAAGTCTCACCGCAGGAGGGAAAGCACAGGTCAGACTATAGCATTAACTAGGGGAGTTATCACTTGAGTCAAGATTTCTAGTTGCTCTAATAAAAAAATGCCCCTCAGCATCTGGAGGGCAGGACCTGTGGTAAGGGGGATTTGACATAAAGAAGAAGCTGGGGAGGGGGAGAGGGAGTTGGAGATCCACCCTAGGTCTGCAGGGCCTGCACCACACTCAGCTGTGGGGCCTCTGACTCCATTGCCTGCATAGACTTCCAGAAATATCCCTCAGGCATCAGAAGAGAAGTAAAACATTTGTGCATTCATGAAGGGAAAGGGACTTTTTCTTATACAAAATCTTCAGCTTAATGCCTAGTTTCAAAATCTTTGCAAATAAAGTTTCCCAAATATCCCAGCCAATAAAATATAACTAAGCCGGGCTCGGTGGTTCAGCCTATAATCCCGCGCCTTTGGGAGGCTGAGGTGAGTGGATTGCCTGAGCCCATGGGTTTGAGACCCGCCTGGGCAACTTGGCGAGACCTCATCAAAAAAATCAGCCAGGTGTGGGAGCACGCGCCTGTAATTCCGGCTACTCGGAAGGCTGAGGCGGAAGGATCGCCGGAGCTCAGTGGGTCGAGGCTGCGGTGGCCAGGAGCGGCCACTGCACTCCAGTCTGGGCGATGGAGTGAAACTCCAACTCCAAAAAAAAAAAACCAACAAAACATAACTAGTCCCTCCCTGAATTCATGAGGAGCTTAACTGGTGGCACCAGCTCTCTGCTTCCCATCTGACATCCGCAGCATCTTGGCCTCGGGCAAGCAAGCACACCCAGGCTGCTCCACCCTCAAACTGGAGTGTCCCAGAAGCATGACAGAAGCCTTTGGTACCTTCAAAGGAAAACCTCCTATTCTGATGCCCGGAGCTGCTGGGAGAGGGAGGTGGCTTCTTGTTGGGAATGGTGTCCCCTGAAGGAAGCAAAAGAAGACAAGATTGTGGCCTGGGTCTCTCTTGGACAAGGTCTTCCTCCCATACCACACACTAGGGATCCTGGGATGGGGTGCACTTCTTCTTGGGAAGCTAAGGGCTCATAGCCATGGACATAGCCAAGGGTCCAGGTCCACACCTCCCTGGTCCTCACACAGATTTCTGGCAGGAAAATGTGGTAGGAAGCTACCTGCCCCCTCATCATGGGTCACTTCAGAGACGTGGGTTTGGGAGATACACAGGCTACCATATAATTTTCCATTTTAATTCAAACAGCTTCTCCAGGAGCTGCTCATGTTGAACTCAGAGGAACTGGAACAGCTCTAGGAAGGGAGGGAACTCAATCTGTCCTCTTACACCTCACACAAACTCAAAACACACACATATACACAACTGCTCCTTGACTTCTCCACCCCAGTAGAGAAAACCCACTGGACATGGAAGCTTCCTGCTAAGCATCTTCCATGTCCTAAGAGACCCTAGTAGATTCAAAGGACTACCTCCCTCGCACCTTTCTTGTTGGCTATTAACTTGTCAGTAGGTTTGGGATTGCCAGGCAGCTCTTCTTTCCCAGGACCCTTTGCAGCTTTTTTGCTAGAGACTAGATTAGATTTCTTCAGACCTAAGAGATCAGCATCCATGTCCTCCAGACCCTAGAAGAGCAGGAAAATGGAGGATGATGTCAGGTAAGGGATGAAGACTTCCATCTGAGAGGGGCTGCTGGCACCCCAGGGGCAGAATTGTGAGAAAATAAAGAAAAATGAGAACACTGCTGAGGAAAAAATGTAAGTCAGGAAAGAAAATTGAGGCAGAGGTAAGAAGAGAAGGATGGTAGGATTCATCTCATGGTTCTGAAATGAGAGACTGAAAATCACCCACCAAAAATTAAGTCAGAGGATTTGCAGGTCACTCCCAGGATTCCTGGCCAGCTAGTATTGGGGAGACAGATTTTTTTTTTTTTTTTTTTGAGTCAGAGTCTCACTCTGCTGCCCAGGCTGGAGTGCAGTGGCACACTCATGGCCACCGCAGCCTTGACCTGCTGGGCTCAGGTGATCCTTCCACCTCGACCTTATAAGTAGCTGGAACTACAGGTACATGCCACTATGCCTGGCTAATTTTTCTTGATTTATTGTAGAGATGAGGTCTCACCAAGTTGTCCAGGCTGGTAGCTCGAACTCGTGGGCTCAGACAATCCTCTCATCTCAGCCTCCCAAAGTGCTGGGATTATAGGCATGAGCCGCTGTACCCGGCCAAGGGAGACAGATTTCAAGTTAGGTTCAATGAAGCTGAATCTGGGTCCAAGAAGGGGACATACAGGATTTCTTCAGAGCTGCACAGGGTTGGAGCCAAGAGCCTGGCCTTGGTCCAGGAAGTTTGGCAAAATGGGCTAACCAGAAGGGATGAAGCTAAGGGTCAGACAGGAGGGTACTACTGGATGGAGAGGGAGGGAGATGAGGCAGCCCAGACCAAGCTACAAGATTATGCTCCCATAAACTGTTCGAAGTTTGTGCCTTAAAATTCCATTGCAAGAATCAGCTTTGGGCTTGATCTGATGAGAAGACAGCAGTACCAAAGGGGACTCAACTTGGGATATGGAAAGAAATATGGAGAAGGGCTGAGAACAAGTGTTACGGAAGACAGTCTCCCTGCTGTCCTCTAGGCAGACAAGGAGGTGGAGAGGACTCAGCAAGGTGAGCCCTTGGGCAGGGCAGGCCCCAATTCATCAGGGACCAGTAGAAGTGACTGTCCACTCTCTTTATACCAAGAAAACTGGTTTATACCCAGAGGGGTAAGAAGGGCATCAGTTCATGAATGAGCTTGCACTAAGAAGGGCTCAGAGAAAAAGTTGTAAAGGGAGAAATTAGAGACAGAATAAAGCCTTGACACAAAATATCATTACCTCCTCCCACCCCCAGTTCTGAGAATCCTACAAGCTGTTTCCTTACCTTCATGGTCTGGAGCAAAGCCTGGGGGTCTGCATCAGAGACGTCTGAAACCTAAATCCACAGCAGGGTAAGGACACAGACAAGGGTGCATGCTAGTCAAGGCCCAACAACACTCAGGGCCTTGGTCCCTGGCTTCTCTCAGGGCAGATGGCATGGCAGGAGCAGAGCTTTGTCCCCTCACTTGGGCTTGGCTGTTTTAAGTCAAACCTGCCCAGTTGTACAGACCCAGTAAGGGCTGCTGTTTCTGCTCCTTCCAACTGGAGAGACCACTTCCATAACAGGACCTGGATTATGCTATTTTTCACCTATGTGACTAGACAGCGATGGAGTGTATTACAGGAAAGGGGCAGACTCCAAGACTCTAGCAGTGGCTGGGAGCTCTCCTTTCTCCCTCATCTTACTGGTGGGAAGGAGAAGGATGTTGCTTTGGGTCCATCTGGCAGCCCTTGGGTACTTTTTTGCTTGAAGAACAAACTGGCTTTGCAGGGACTTTTTTTTTTTTTTTTTTGAGTTGGAGTCTCACTCTGTCGCCCAGACTGGAGTGCAGTGGCCGCTCCCGGCCACCGCAGCCTCGACCTGTTGGGCTCCGGTGATCTTTCCACCTCAGCCTTCCGAGTAGCCGGAATTACAGGCGTGCGCTACCACGCCTGGCTGATTTTTTGATTTATTGTAGAGATGAGGTCTCGCTGCCCAGGCGGGTTTCAAACCTGCGGGCTCAGGCAATCCACTCACCTCAGCCTCCCAAAGGCGCGGGATTACAGGTTGAGCCACCGAGCCCGGCCTGGCTAATTTTTTGATTTACTGTAGAGACAAGGTCTTGCCAAGTTGCTCAGGCCGGTCTCGAACTCCTGACCTCAGACAATCCTCTTGCCTACACCTCACAAAGTGCTGGGATTATAGGTGTGAGCCACCACTCCCAGCAAGTAGGGATTTCTGATCCTTCTGTGAGCAATGCCTGGACCATAACACCCATCTCAGTGTTTCTGGGGATAAGAGAGGATGAGATTGGGGAATGGGCCAGGCTTACCTCGGCATTAGCTCCTGCCAGGTCTGCCATTGTGCTGAAGACATCATCTTCCAGGAGAGACCTGCAAAGGGGTGGAATCAGCACCGACCCACATCCCCAGGGTACTAGATGATTCTAAAAAAGGAATGATTTTGGGAGTCCAAGTGAACTTGGATAGACTTCTCCAGAACAGCTGATGAAAGGAATTTTACCTAATTCAATTTTTTTTTTCCTTACTCTGTCATCCAGGCTAGAGTGCAGTGGCACAATCAGTCTCACCAGTAGCTGGGATTACAGGCACATGCTACCACACCCAGCAAAGTTTTTGTAGAGACAAGGTCTTGTTATGTTCCCCAGGCTGGTCTTGAACTCCTAGACTCAAGCAATCCTCCTGCCTTGGCCTCCCAAAGTGCTAGGATTACAGGTATGGGCCACTGCACCTGATTTTTTCAAGTTTTCATTTATTTATTTATCTATTTGAGTCAGTCTCACTCTGTTGCGTCCTCGCTGGAGTGCAGTGGCATGCTCATGGCCACTGTAGCCTCAACCTGCTGGGTTCAGGTGATCCTTCCGCCTCAGCCTTCCAAGTAGCTGAAACTACAGTTGTGAGCCACCAATGCCTGGCTAATTTTTTTTATTTTATTTATTGTAGAGACAAGATCTTGCCAAGTTGCCCAGGCTGGTCTCAAACCTGTGGGCTCAGGCAATCCTCTTGCCTCTGCCTCCCAAAGTGCTGGGATTACAGATGTGAGCCACCACCCCTGGCCTTTTTCAAGTTTTTAAAAGCAGTATAGCTGCTTTTCAAAGTGTTAAAGATAAGAGGTAAGAAAGAAAAACATCTGCTCTAGCTGAAATGAGGGTAGAGGGTGTAGAGCTCACAAAGCTCCTCCTTTATCTTTTATCAGTCAGGTGTGAACCTTATTAGACCAAACAAGCTGGGCTCGGTGGCTCAGCCTGTAATCCTGTGCCTTTGGGAGGCTGAGGTGAG